CCAAGTAAGAACTGAAAACTCTGGATGTTTGAGAGGCTCTAGGGCCGGTGCAGACTCTGAAGTGGCCTCCTGGGCCAGAGCACACTCTGAAGCAGTCTGAAGCAGGCTCCTGGACTGGAGCAGGCTCTGGAGTGAACTCTGAGAACTCCTGGACTGGAGCAGGCTCTGAAGTGAACTCTGAGGGTTCCCAGACCGGAGCGGGCTCTAGAGGGGACTCTGAGGCAGGCTCCAGGGAAGCTAGAGTGGACTTCGAAGCGGCCCAGGCACGCAGAACAGCCATGAGGTGAAAGGCAAAGATGGCCTTCTTGACTATGGCAGCAGCAGAGATCGGGCAGCACTGTAGCAGCCTCTGTGGCTGTGACAAGGTGAGCAGGTTGCTCAGTGACGGACTCTGTGGCAACAGCAGTGAGAATGGGCTGTTCTGTGGCAGGCTGTTCTGGAGCGGCTTGCTCAGGGACCCCTGGGACCACCGAACTTGGGACCACTGGAGTCAAGTCCTCCAGGACCACCAGACTTGGGACCACCGGAGTCGGGTCCTCCAGGACCACCAGACTTGGAACCACCGGAGTCGGAAACTCCAGGACCGCCAGACTTGGGACCAACAGATTCAGGCCTTCCTGGACCATTGGACTTGGGACCATTGGAGTCGGGTCCGGCAGGAACATCGAACACCCCGTTAGTTAAGCCCATGTTGCCATGTCAGGCTGGTCGGAATTCTCAAACAACAGAGAAATGTTTTGAAAACGCCATAGAATTAGCCTTTAGCCTTTTTAAAATTATTTTATTTATTTATTTATTTATTTTTTGGAAAATCAGTCAACAAACAGCTTAGCTATAGTTGTCCCAACATATTAATCTGGTATCAAAGAAAGTATTTTCATCAAGAAAGACACCTTTAAGTGATTAGACAGTGAGAAATAGGATATGAATTGCACATATGTAATGATTTCTTGTAAGAGAAACGCCCGCCAGAAATTAACTGGTTAGAAAACACGCTAGTTTACTGCATTACGAATGCTTTTTATTCCTCGGGGATGCATCAAGCGGAAGACCGTATCATAAACGTGCTGTCAATAGACAGTAATTGACACATATTGCAACATAGTAACAGTAACCCAAGACTGTTTAGGCAGTAATTTATGTGGCCCATCAGGCATTTGCATGGTATTATACTAAGAATAGCGTAACAAAAACCATTCCCTAAGCCAGTGTTTGCTGTATCAGCTGTTTTTGCCACATAAACACAGCTGGTGCTCTTGCTAAATAGCACCAGCTGAAAGCCGAGCTGTTTCTCATGCCCATACCAGCGAGCTTGGGCAGCAGGAACCTTCTGTACCGGCTACTGGCAAGTCGCCCTTCTGTGTGTCCGTGTTTCTTCTCTGCCGCAGCCTGCTGGTGGACTCACACAGGGTCAGCAGTCACACATGCTCACACGGAGCGAGCTAATGGCTGTAGCTTTGAGATGTCATTCACATTTACTGATGCAGATTATATAAACTCTTACATAATCTTACCACTTAACCACATGTGAGACCGGCACATTCCAGCCGCCTGTAAGTGTTATGAGCACTGTCCCAATAACCCTGGCCATGGGGCGGATCTCACACTACACGTGCCATAGCTTTTATTATCACGGACGGCCATCGCTGACATAGACGGTCTGATAAAGGGATCAGCAGGAGAGGAAGGATAAGAGAGGCTTGCAAGAATTCAAAGCCTCAGGGATCGGTTGGTTAGATTTCTACTGGAGCAGCTTTCAGGCATTGTGTTTGAGCGGGAGGAGTTTCAGAGCTGGCTAGATGAAGTAAACATGCCAGATATGTGTCGCATCATCCCCGGTTACATAAGCATGCCTTCCTCTCGTAGCTCCACCCTTCTTTTGTGCAGATGTTTTGTTTGCTTTGTTTTTTTAAAGGCATTTCCATCAAACAGGCTTAATGAAAAACTAACAAAGACTTAACTAAGTCTTATTTTACTTTGCCTCTGAGAATGAGGCTGGGTGTGGGGGGCTAAAACCCTACTAATATTTTCCATAACACAAACCGTGAAGGTTTCCCCATGTGGATATGGCCACTGTAGACATCCCACATGTGGCATGACGATCATTTACCAGGAATTCAATTCAGCACTTTTTCTTTGAACTCAGAGAGTCATCACAGTGACAGTAGTCTTTCAAGAGACTAATGTCACTCTCGGGGCGCTGTGAAGGGTGTGTCTAGGGCCATAGGACTGAGTCTAGAGACTTATTTTCCCTGAAGCGGCACTAATGACCGGTCTACGCCAAGAATGTCGACAGAAAAAGTCCCACACAGCAAATGGATGTGGTCAAATGTAGTTGCATTCTTTATTTTTTGGTTTCTAATAGCCTGTTTTGAGAAATGGCATTATTCATATTGCGCAATATCCATAACATATTCATTCAGTTGCTTGTTTTGGAGTCAAAGGTCTGCAGGATATTAAAGCAGTCAGATTATTGTGTCTTTTTGAGAGTTACAAGCCATTTACAGTGATGGTATATTGTGATCATCAGCATTTTTAATAATTCAAGAGAGGTTATCAAAATATTCATTGTAGGAAATTAGATTATAATGCAGATATGTTAAATTGGTTAAGACATATTACGGTTTAAGCATCAACACTACTCCAGTAAATAAATAAATAAATATCTTTAAAACATCCTTAATATATATATATATTCAGAGAGAGAGAGAGAGACATATCTATCTATATGTATGTATGTATGTATGTATACCCTTACTAACTTATCATAATTCTTGGGTAAATTTATAATTTTAAGGATGTTTAGATATTTTTTTATTAGAAAATCTGAAATATATTCTAGGTAGGAAACCATTATTTTTTGTGTGCGTTCAAATTTCAGCTGAATTAGTTTCTGAATTTTAATAGATGCCAAGAGTAAGTTGGCAAAAGGTGTTCAAGAAAGAGAAAGAAAATAAAAGTTTTATTTGAAGAGTAAAACTAGATCCCTACTTGAACTTAATGACACCATCTGAGACTGTCTCTTCCCCATGCGCTCAGTGTTTTATACATTTTCCTGCAGCTGAAACGTATTGCCACAATGGCGTAAGCAAGTGTGTGTGTGTGTGTGTCTTTGTAGGAAAGTGAGTGAGACACACACACACACATACACACACACACACAAGCACACACCGCGCACATGTGCATTCCACCCTCATCAACAAAGAACTTATTGTAGGCTCCACCTGCCAATGCAAATCACAAGAGGAGAGCTCACAAGGGAGGGACTTCACTCAGAGGAACTCCTTTCTGCTTCTCTCTAATTTCATCATGTGTTCCTCCAATTTACTCTGGTCAAAGAACAACTGCCACTATGCTGATGAACCCATAATGTAACATCAAAAACTTCTTAGCCTCCAAAGAACCCTTTTAAGAACCCTCAACAACCATCTGGAGTTGGCTTTAGTTCTTTGGAGAATTTTGCACCCTGGTGTCATATTTCTGAATTCCTGGTGAGAACCTTTTCAAAGATCTTTGTGTGCTCTAGGTCCTGTCTACTGATTCTTTAGACACATCAGAAACTGACACTCTGATCTGAAGAACCTATAATGAACATAAAGAATTTAGTTATCATTAAAAAAAAAATACTCTTAAAAATTAAGGTTGTTTATTGTCATGTGGTTCCATGAAGAACCTTTAACATCCATGGAAACTTTCTATTCCACAAAATGTTTGTTATGGTGGAAAAAGGTTCTTCAGATTATTAAAATGTTCTTCACACTAAGAAAAAAATGGTTCTTTTAAGAACCGTTCACTGAGAGGCTTTTTAGGGAAACAAAATGGTTCTTATATGGCATTGCTGTGAGAACTACTTTTTGGAGCAATTATTTTTGAGATTTTGCCATATAACAACCTCAAGAACCCTACTGATTTCCTCAGTTGTTCCAGATCTCTGGTCAAAAAAACATCCATCTTCACACTTATCCTTCATTCTTAAAATTAAAGGTTTCAATTGGTACCAAACATGTTTTGTGTTCTGCAAACAATTATCATCTTGTTCTTGAGGAAACCATCATTGAATTGTTTCCTTAAAGAACCAACCAGTACCCTGACCCAAGGAACCCGTAATATAACATCAAAAAATTCCAAAACCTTCAACCACCATTTTGAGTTGACTAAAAAAGTTTCATAATACGTTCTTCAGATCAGTAAATGTAAAGTTTGGCTCTTATCTGAGGGTGATGCAAAGAACCACCGAAGAAACCCTTTTTTATTATTTTAAGAGTGTTTTGCCAAATTACACAGTTTCTTTTTTCCTCATAAGTGAGTTTACAGTGCAAAACAGCAGCGGGAGAAACCGCAGAGCTCCATCATGTCTCCCGTTATTATTGGCTGCCTGGAAGAGGCTGTACAGATCTGCCCTTAAAACTCCAGAGGGTAATTCAGCTGTGCTCTGCGTGCTACTCCATAGACCTTGTCACTCAAAACTTGAGGCAAACTGCATTCCCAGCCTCAGCACGCTTCGACCACAAGCCGCATCTATTGGTGGAAGACTGTGACGTGCTTGCTCGAAGCTAAAATGTGTTTCGGATGAACTTTTAAAGAACGAAGGTTTGAGCAGATCCCCATTAGTCAGACACTGGTGGAGTTAAATGGCTACGTGAGGAACGCTCATGCTGAAGCACTTTTAAGCTTCTCACCACTGACGTATGTTCCTTAAAAAATATCACGCTGCGTACTAAATGTATCCACGTTCCTCAAAAACAAATGTTTCTAATGGCTGAATGTTTTGTACTCATGTAAATCTTCTCAACTCTTAACAGAACCTGGTAAATGAGTAATGCTGCAACACACAAAAACAAAAGTGGCTGAATGGGCGGCGTATTGCTCTGTTCTTCTAATGAATGTGGTAAAACACATACTGAGTCCATATGGGTGACAGTCGCACAGAATCCTGTTGACTGAGGGGTCTGCGGTGTGCCTGCAGCTGTGGTGTGTGATGGGCCAGTTGTTGCAGGCAATGTTCAAAATTGCAGTGCAGTGTCTTTGATTCCATTTACAATCTTTCATATAGGGATTTAATGAATTAATTTCACAGCCAAAGGCATATTTGCTCCTTCCTAAACCAGATCGAGTTCATAAACATTGAATTGTGACTTGTTTTCCCTTGAGTTTAAAATATTTTGATGATTTTGTGACTTGAAGAGTTAGTTCTTACAAAAATGTCATTATTTTCTCACCCTAACATTGTTCCAAACCTATTTGACTTATTTCAGTTGGGGAACACAAAAGTTGATATTTTGAAGAATGTTTGTGCTGCTCTTTTCCGCACAACAAAAGCAGTTACCAGTGGTTGTCAAGTAGTAAAAAAAAAACACTATAAAAGTCATAGAAATCATAGAAATAGTCAGTATGAAGTCTGTGGGAACAGGACAAAAAATAAGTCGACATGAAGCGGGAAATGTGAGTCTTTTCTTCCCAATTGTGACGTATATCTGAGCAAACGGCTTCTCGAATGAGGAAATAAGCAAGACTTGATTTGATATTTTTCATTTGCTAATCGCTGCAATCTCAAGTGAGTAACAAGTTGCTGGAGGGGATGGATTGAAACACGTCAGGCTGTCAGACAAACATGCCAGTTTACAAGTCATAAGAGAAGAGACTTTGTTGCAGTGGGAAAAGGATGTGCATGTTTTTGATTAAAGATATAAAAAGAATTATGACATGCACATTTATGATAAACACATCACACAGCATTACCTGAAATATAAGCATATGTTCATTTTGATTTCACGGTAACTTCAAGTCGTTGTTTACTGACAATCATTCCCTCCACCATAGCTTTCAAATCTCATTTGCTCTTGTGCATATCAAACTCGACAGGTTGCGCGATCAGTTATGAAACAAAAATCGAATATGATTTGGTGTCTTTGTAAAACCTAGAGTCAAGTTTTCAGTTTCTCACACAAATTTGTCATATTGCTTTTGTTAATAATATATTTATTTTGTAAGGCACTGCATACTGTTGCTTACAATGGGACTCTGTGTTAACTGAATCTGTGTTAACATTCTTCTTTCACGGTTTGGAAGAACACAAGGGTCAGTAATGATGACAGAAACGTAATATTGGAGTCATTACTATTCTTCTAAAAATAAAAGTGGATGTGGGATTCATTAAGGTTACTTCGTCTTTCTAAATATCTCAGGGTAGCAACATCTGCCTGTCCAAGATCAAACCAATGACAAAATGAACGTTGATGCCAAGACAAACAGAAACACTCACATGTGGCAAACACGTTCCAGGAAGTCACTGACGAGGCTCTCGTGCTTCCTGCAGAGGTCCTTCTGGAATATGGTCTTCATCCAGTCCTCAATGTTGCACACTTTGACCCTGCACGAGTTCCAGGATACATCCAGGTACCTTAGTGAAGAGCCCAGAACATAGTTGTCCTTCCTCAGCTCGCACGGAGACCTGAAGTGAAGTAGCATCCACAGCTGTGGGTCCAAGAAGACCTGTCTTAGTCGTACACAGGTCAGGGACAGGCTGTGGCGACTGTCCTTGTCAAGGTACGAAAAAAGGTGTAGCAAACACTCCTGATCTAGTTCTACGAGATGCATAGCAAGACAGAGGCCTGCTAACAACCACAAAGCAACAATGGGTCAACGGCGTGTCTCGTGTGGCCTGGATTTGTGATTCTCCCCCAGACTGTAGCCTCGCGGAGGCCTTGCACATATAAGGTCGTGAGGAATGGGGGTTATTTTGGGAGGACTGCTGCAGGCACGGTCAAAAATGGAAATGTGTGAGGCACATGGACTCTCCCGGTCCATCTGTCTCCGACGCCTGGACAGGAGGCAGTGTGAGGGACGTTTAGAGTGTGACAGTTCTGTTTATCACTTGCAAGAGGCTTCACTCAGCACCCTGCATCTTGGGGGATGGGGAATGGCAAGACACTCTTCCACACTGAGGCCCGTTTACACCTGGTTTTGCTTGCGTTTTGGTTGATCCGATCACAAGTGCTCAAATGCATCTCTTCTGACCACTTGTGATTGGATGTCAAGGGCAGGGTCCCTGGTTTCATGACTGCAACACTGCAGACTATCTCACTGGGTTACTGTGTGTTGATAAAGCACACAAGAAAAATATCCAGTTCTTTTAATTGGACACTTATTTAAGCTGCTCATAATGGGCAAAGTTGAAACCCTTGTTTTAGCGAAGAGGTTGATCACAGTATGGATGCATTCAACGACATGAGTGTTTCACTTGAGTTGTCAACCACCTTCGAATGCAGTTGAAAGTGGATAAGCGCAAATCAGTTTGGACTTGATTTACCCCGTATTTAGCCTGTTGTTTACTTGTAATCATACCAGGTATAATTGTGCCTTGAATTCAGTTTTTTTCTGGCAATTGAGACTCCAAAATAATTGGATTTTGCTCGTTCAGACTGCCAGAGCTTTACTGAATTCACTGACACACATTTGATGGAGATTTACATAAAGCTATCTAGCAAAGAAGAACATTTGTATATAGACAAAAATGTAAATAAGAAGATAACACTGGCTTCTAATTGGAATGATATTACGACCAAAGAGCTACTCGCTATCTATACAAAGAGCAAAATGTATTCATCAGTTTAGCGCAGGGGTGCCGCAGCCCTGCAGAGTTTAGTTCCAACCCTGCTCCAACACACATACCATGTAGTTTTCAAATAAGCCTAAATGATTAGATTAGCTGGATCAGATGTGTTTAATTAGGGTTATATCTAAACTGTGCAGGGCTATGGCCCTCCAGGAACTGAGTTTGACACCCTTGGTTTAGCGGTACCATATGCAAATGTTTAGAAGAAGATACCACAATAAATGAAAGAGGAGCTTATTTTGCTAAAGCACGTTTCACAGCATCGGATCTTCTAGGGTCTGATGCTAGCATT